TCCAGCAGCTGCAGCCTTGTCCTAAGGTGGCACTCAGCTGAACCCCAGAAAAACCAAGTGCAGAAAGAACCACTCCACACAGCGTGGGGGACCACCCAGGTCAGCAGAGGGGGAGACTGGGACAACATTTGCATGGTTGGAAACCCTGACAGTCCAGGGAAAGGCCTTGGGCTGCATAGGGCCGGGCCCGGAAGTCCACTCTGGGTACAGCTCACGGCACACCCGGACCCTATGACAAAAAAGGGGGGCACTGCCACTGGGATTTGGACAGAGGAGGTCCATCTGCGACCCCTCCTGGGATCAGCACCCTGTGACTGCATGCCCCCCGCTCCTCATTCTTGGAGTTCACATCAACCTGTGGCCGGGCTGGGGCTCTGGCTCCGAGGGCTGTGCGGGAGGCAGCATAGCACAGCAGCGACAAGGCCTGGGGTTGAGTCCTGCCTCCGCCCAAGCTCGCCTGACCTCTCTCAACTCCGCTCTCCTCTCTGTTAAGTGGGGGTAGCCCCAGCGAGTGGCTGGCTTACACTGCTGCTGCTGGAGTTAAACAAAGTCAGCGACGGCTTCTCCATCCACCGAGCGGCATCGGAAGGCCGGGGGCCGACCCGTGGCGGGCAGCCAGCTGCTGGTGGTTAATTATTTATTTGCCCCATCTTCCTGCCCTTACTGAACTGCAAGCCCCTAAGGGATAGGAGTTGTCTTGTGGGTTCTGGGTGCTTTTCAGGCCACCTTCTTCACACTGTGGACTCCCAATAAACACATGTGACATCAGCGCTGGGTCCTGAGCTGACCCCATCCCTCCTCATCCACCCCCTTCCTTCTCACATCCATCCCAAGAGGCAAGGGAGGTGCACACAGACAGATGACAGTGGGGCCTGTGGGCAGCCCTCAGAGGGGTGTCCCCCTCACCCCGTGTCAGTACCGCCTGCCTGGGCACTGGGTCTGGAACCCACGCTCTTTCAGGAAAGAAAAGATCTGGAAGTCTAACACCTCAAACCCAGAGTGTGGTGGAGAACCAGCCCTTTGTGGTTTTATCCATTCTGCACCCAGACTCTGCCAGGCTTGCCGGAGCCACGTGCCCAGGGCGCTCATGCCTCATCCTGCTGGCAACCAAGGGGGAAATTAGTCCCTTGGACCCATTTTAAAGATCAGGAAACTGAGGCCTCAGCAAAGTTACTAAGCTCCAAAACAGCCAGCAAGCTGCAGCCTCCTGAAATAGTTTCCTCTCCCACAGTTCCTTAGGCAATGGGAAGACCAGCACCAGAGGGAAGGGTTTCTGGCCTCTCCCCAGAGCCTTGTCTAGGGTTGGTTTTTCTCAGCCTCCCTTCACCCCTGAGGGCAGGGCCCAACCTCAGAATCACCCCGGGGAGCTTAGAGCCCAGGCAGACTGCTGGCTCCCCCATCCTCAGGGGGCTCTTAAGGACAAAGAGGGCATGGGCAGGGGCCAGTGTGTCCTGCTGGGAGGTCAGGGCAGTGGCAAGGCTGCAGCAGCTCCCAGGGCAATTATGGCAGCCCCGCCTTTGTTGTCTGCACAAAACCCCAGGAACCTCGTAAAGATGAGGCCCTGACGGGACCGGGCAAGGGCCCTCCGGAGCAAAGTTATGAATGAAAATGTAGGGGACCCAGTCACAACCCGCGACCCGCAGGCCCTACTTCCTGGCCCCGGAAGGAAGGCTTCTGGACGTGAACTTGTTGGGGCCTGGACCTCTTGCAGTCACAACTCACCCCGAGACCCGGGTCACGGCATCCGCGGCTTCATCCGCAGGCACTCTGCTGTCCAAGTTAGCAGGCCAGGCAGGCTTCCCAGGGAGCCCCCTTCCTCCCCGCCCTAGTGCACCCCCACTGTCAATCAAAAAAAAGGGGGGAAGCCGCAGCAGCCCTTGTCTGCTGGGTCCCCCCTTTCCCCTGCAGGTTTCTGGGCTGAGTGGAGGGGGACACCTGTCGTAGGTTGGGGTGCATGGATGGGGCCGGGGATGGCGAGAACGCTGAGTGACTGTAGCAGGGAGAAGTGTACGTGCGTGCATGCATGTGTGTGCGCCTGTGTGTGTACAACTGGTGCTGCGGCCACAATCCCACCAATTCTGGATCTTTTCTCACTTTCCTCCTGGCTCCTCCTTCCCACCTCCCCTGGGAAGGAAAAGAAACACTCTGTCCCCAGGAGGCAGGCAGCAACCTCTGTCTCATACAGACGAGGCTACTCCTTCCAAGTTCTGTTCGTCCAGTGATTTCTTCTTCCCCTAGCCCCGACCATCAGCCCAGCTCTTGCACACAACCCCTCTCCTCCCCACCGCCCCGCCAACTCTGAGAAGTCTCAACTCTTGGGCTTGCCATGTGAAAATAGTGTTTCATAACCTCGTGCCTTGGGACAAGGGGAGGCTTCTGTCCTTTTGGGAAAAACAAACTCCAGAGCGATCATAAAAGTCAGGAGAAAACACCCGGGCCCTGCAAACGCACCACCCCCCTCCCCGTCCCGAGCCCCGAAGTCACACGTGCTCCCAGGCAGACAGTGGGACTTTCAGTGTGGCTTTTGTTTGATGCTGGCGTTTCAACATCCTCAACTTTAAGAGGGAAAGGTCAGCCTAAGGCTCCCGGCATTCACATACCCACCCCGCCTCTGCACAGCGGCCGGCCGGGGCACCGGCCGGTGAGGGGCCAGGAATCCTCCTGGCCTCCAGACCCCTTGAAAAAGTAGCTAGGACGGAGGAAGCCAGAGTGCTTGAACCCTCATCCAAACTTTACTACGCGCCTACAGGCAACTAACTTCCCCACTCCTGGGACCAAGCAAGCGCCAGTCCAGCTCCCTGCTCTCCGCGCTGGCCTTCCTAGCCCTACCTTCAAAAAAAAAATAATAATAAGCAAACTCAGGCACCTCTGGGAACAGCCTCTGGCCTCCTGCCCTGCCCTGTACAACCAGCCTGTCCTCACACCCACGAGGGAGGAGGAGACAGCGCGGCTTAACCCTCTGGTCTACCAGGCCTGGCTCCCGGCAGCAGCGAGACAAACTGTTGCTCAAGAAAATCCTCCAGGAAACGCTGGGCACCAGGAGGCAGCTCGGAGCAAGCAGCTTCTGCACCCCGGCGCCACGCCAGGGCTTCCATGGGCACTGCCCACTGCCCTTTCCAATCTCCCATGCCCAGGGCTGCCCGCCCAGGGGGCTCCACACGGCCATGGCAGAACAGGGAGGAGGGCCAGGCTGGCGAGCAGTGCCCTCACCCCGCCAGCCCAGCCGCCAGCTTCTTGGAGTACCTCTGAGAGAACATTTGTTTGGGCTGCCAAGTTAAATCTTCCTCCCTCATGTCAGGGCATTGGAAAAGCAGTCAGGGGAGAGGAGGAGGGGCAGAGCGGGGGGAAGGAGCTGCGGGAGGGAGGGAGGGCGGTTGGCTGGGAGGGAGGGAGGCAGGCCCGGAGCCCCAGTGACTCGGGCACTGCCTGCCCGGGAGGCTCGCGGCTCCCGGGCAGGCGCAGCAGGGAGACCCGGCACCGAAGCAAGGGACCCGGCCGCCGGGTCTCCCGGGGTGGGCGCAGGGTGCCGAGCGCCCTCGGCCCCAGAGCGGCAGAGGCCCCTCGCTCTCTGCCCGGCTGGAGGCGCGAGGTGGGTAAGGGAAGGCAGAGGAGGAAAAGTTTGCGGCAGGTACAGGGTAGGGCAGGGCGGCCCCGCCGCCGGGCTGTCCCCCAGGGAGGGGTGGGGGGTACGAGCCGGCCGCCCTGGCGCGCTCGCGTCCGCCCGCCCTCCCGCCCGGGTTGTTTACATTCCTGGAGTGTCTTTTAAACCCGGGGCTGAGGCCGGCTCCCGGCCTTCTCCGGCGGCTCCGGGGCAGTCTCCCGTGAAAATCCGCTGGCGCACAATGGCCGGGAAGGCGGCCGCCCCTCGCCCGCGCCCCAGCCGCTCCGGGGCGGAGGGGCTGCCCCTGCGCACCGCGCCCTCTCCCCGCCCGGCCGGCTTCCCAGACAGATGTCCCCGGCAAGGGGGCGACTCGCGCCCGCTGCCCGCGCCCCAGGCGCCGAGGCCGCGCTCCCCACGGCTTTCTCCTCAGCTCAGACGCCAGGAATGTGAAACGAGCACTAGGGCCCGCTCCCTCCCCCTCAACTCCCCCCACCGCCCAAACCCCAGCTCTGGCCCGGGCCGGTGCCCCAGCCTCCGCCCCGGCCAGCCTCCCACTTCCCCCGGGGCCACGGCCGCCCGGGACGGAGAGGAAGAAAGAACACGGGGAAATTACTTTCGTATTTGCAACGCGCGCGCGCGCACACACGCACATCCCTTCGGGGCTCCCCTTCGGGAAGGGGCAGCCCTGTCCAGGCTCTGGCCTGGACGCCCCTCCAGCTCCGACAGCCCCGCGAGGGGCCCCGACACACACACACCCCTCCGCGGTCCCCGCCGTGCGGCGCGCCGCGGTCCCCCGGGCAATTCCCAAACAACTTAACCGCGCCCCCACCTCCCGCTCACAAAAGTGTGTGTTTTCCCTAGAAATTCAGATGCACAACTCAACGCCACCGCCGCTTGCCACCCCGAAGCCCCGCGCCTGCCCCAAGACTCCCGTCCGCGCGGGCGCACAACTTCGCGTCTCCACACACAGGAGCCCAGGGATGTCGAGGCGGTCCGTCCCCGGCCCTTCGCTGCCTCCTCAGAACCCCGGTCCTGCCCGGCCCCGGGCGTGCGGAGCGAGGGCTGGGGGTGCGCCGGCGGGAGGCGGGCACCCGGTCCGTGCGCGCCCAGCCGCACTCACGCCCCGCACACCCGGCGAGTCCCAGCCCCAGCGCGCAGCCCGAGCCGGTTCCGAGCAGCCTGGCGATCGCCGGCCGCCTGGGCCTCCGTCCCCGGCCGCCAAGGGAAGCGCAAGCCGAGTTGGCGGCGCCAAACCCCTCGCCGCGCTCGTCCGACCGGGGCGGACCCTTTAAGGGAGAAGCCCCAGCAGCCAGCACCCCAGGCTCGCGCCCAGAGAATCCGCGGGAAGCGGGAAGAAGCCCCGGGGCCAGCGGGCGCCGGGCTCCGGCCCCAAACTTACCGGGCGCTGCGAGCCCCGCCGCCGCCGCCGCCGCCGGAGGACGCGCCGCCGCTGCCGCTGTTGGTGTCGCCGCCGCCCGGCAGGGCCGGCTCGGGCCGGGAGAGCGCAGCGAGGGCGCCGAGATCCGCTCGGCTCCGGCTGCGGTTCCTGCTCCGCGCCGGCCGGGGCTGGGGTCACCGCGCTGCGCCGGCGCTGCTCGCTCGCTCGCTCCGCCGCCCGGCCGCTCGCTTTTTTAATGTCCACAGACAGTGGAAAGGAACTCGGCGTTAGGGGGTAAGTGAATCAACTCGCCCGGAGCCGAGCAAGTTGAAGTGTCAGATTACATTGGCTATTCTATTTCCAAAGGGCCCCGCGCCGCCGGCCGCCCGCAAAAGCCGGCGCGGAGCGAGCCCGGAGCGGAGCGCCGAGCCGCCACCACCGCCGCCGCCACCGCCGCCGCCGCCGCCTGCGCCGTGCGGGGCTCCGCTCGGCTCGCGCTCTGCGCTCCGGCCGCGCGCGCTCTTTCCCCTTTCTTTCCGCCTCTCCTCTTTCCTCCTCGCCTTCCCGTTCCCTTCTTTCGCTCGCTTTCTTCCTCGCCCTACCGTAGGGGCGCTCTGCACGCTTGGCGAAACCCTCTGGGCTCCGAGCGGCTCCGCTCCGCGTCGGCCCCGCCCCCCGCCAGCCGCTCGCTCACCTCTCCTCCCTCTCTCTCTCTGTCTTCTCTCCCCTTTCCCCGCCACCCCCAGCGCCCCCCGCCCAGGGAAGTTTGGGGAAGAGAAGAAAGGCCGAGCCTGGGACGGGACCACTCTGGGGAGGAAGCCAAACCCCTCGGCTCACCGGCGCGCCCCCAGCCCCTCGCGCTCGCACGCCAGCGCCTGGAGTGCACGCGGGGCCGCGGGCGCTGTCAGGTACACGAATTGGGGGTGCGCGAGTTGCTGACAACATCTCCAAACCCTTTCCTGGAAGAGACTTTGGGCTTGTTTCTAAAGCCCAGGAGCTGGCGGGTGGGAAGAGAGGTGCCCCCACCACCACCACCATGGGCGATGTCGGGGGGCGGCGGGGACGCGGTTCCCCAAACGTCTTGGGAGGAGCGGGGATGCGGTGCGGACGGGCCGTCCCCAGCACGCGCGCAGTCCGGAGGCTCCGGGCTCCCCGAGGCCCGGCGGAGAGCGCCTGGGGCTCTGTGCGCGCGGGCGCCGTGGAAGCGGCAGGACCCGGGCCCTGTGCCGGGCCCAGGGCTCGGCACTGGCCCCGGGCTGGCAGAGAGCGAGGGCACTCACAAAGTGCAGCCGGGTGCGCCCACTGGCGGGGTTCCCTCCGCAGATCCGCCCCCAAGAGCATCCGAGCGCGCGCCCACTTTGGCTCGCGTCCACTGTCGCTCCCGCGGGGACGCCGGTACCGGCGGCCCACACCTCGGCGCCCGCCCCTCACACTCCCGCACACTTTCCGTCAACTCCGCCCGCGTACAAGGCCGCAGCAAGCCCACAAGCTGACACGCCATGGCATATAACCCCCCCACCGCGCGCACTCGGAAAACAAAACACGGAGCGTTTCTCTGTGCACGCACACAGACACAGACACACGCCCTGCCCCCGCTTCCTCGTCCACGCCCCTTCCTCAAGGACCCCCACCGCCGACCCGCGCCCCCCTCGGTCCCGGTCACAATCAGCGCCCCCGTTGGACACGCGTGCGCGCGCACGCTCGCCCCTCCCGGGGCAGGCGGGGGCGGCTCGGGCCCGGAGCCCGCTGCGGGGTCCAGGTGTGGCTGCGACTCCGCGCTCCGCGTTTTGCGGGCCGCCGCGGTGTCGGAGGCGAGGCGAGGAAGGGAGCTGGAATAACAAAGGCAAGTTGGGGAGAGCGCAAGGGGGCGCAGCCCCGGCCGGGCCGCGGGGGGAGCCCCGCTCGGCCGGGGCACTGCGGGCTGCGGGGTCGCGGGCGCCGCTAACCGGAGGTGGGGAGGAAGGATGGGGGGCGAGGGGCGGGGCCGTGGTGTGACGTCAGAGAACAATGACACCGCCGGGGGGCGGGCGCGGGGAGGCAGCCGGGGCGGGGGTCTCCCCCGGGGCTGGGGCGGGCGGAAGAAGTCCTGGCCCAGCGGGGGCCTCTGCCTGATGGACGGGGCCCGCACGGGAGCGCGGACGTGCTTCCCAAACGAGCGGGTCGCCGGGTCTGGTGGGCGGTGACCAGAGCGGATCCCAGGCCAACGAGGATCGGAGCTGGGGGAGCAGGCCGGAGTGCGCCCCCCCCCCACAGACCCCCATTTCCGAACATCCTTTGGAGGTCTGCTCTGACCTCGGCTTGAACTCCTTCAGGGCCAGAGATATCACTCCTTCCAGCACCGAGGGAGAAGAGGCAAAATGCATTGGCCAGCCTTGAATTCTTTCTCTGGGCTGGCTGGCCGGTGGTCTGACAGCGGCCTGGAATTCCTGCGGGCTCCTCCGTCCACCGGGGCTGCAGAGCCGCGAGGCGCGCCAGAGGGAGCCTGTTTGATTTTCCCAGAGGAATGTCTGCCTCCCTCTGTGTTAGGGCAGCAAGGGAGGGCACTCTGCGGGTTCGGCCCAGTCCCTGTCATGTGGACCGTGGTCACTACTGGGGTCCCCCCACCCACTCACAGGTGGCAGAGGATGATCCCTGGGGAGGGCCGGTGGGATGAAGGCATTTACAGATCTCCAGGGCCCTGGGGCAGGCTGGGTCCCAGCACATTCCTGTGGGTGGACGCCCCTCCTTCTCAGCCTGTGGGTGGCCCCAGTGCACAGGTAGGGGCAGGGGGGAAAGGCCTGGCAGGGGCCTGGAGGGTGGGTGGGCATTCAGCGGCAGCTGTCCCATCTCCAGCAATCCTCAGCCTTGCAACAGCCAGAAAGCAGACGCATCCCAGGGTCAGAACCCCAGGACAGAAAAGCCAGCTCCAGCTGACACCTAAGCCAGTTTATTACCTTGATGTCCACCTAGGTCAGGATGGCCTGGCCCTCTTGAGGTTTCTGTCCAAATCCTTCAGTGAGTAAGCAGGCTGGCTACCTCCAGGAAGTGGGGTGGGGGGGTGCAAGGGACCTGGGGTTGTTGGGTCAGATTCAAAAGCCCCTGTCCAGAAACCACCTCCCACCCTCAACAGCCCCATATTTCTATCTTGGAAACCAGGAAGTGGTTACAGAGGGGTGAGGAGCCATGCAGGACCCGTGGTTGGTGGGATGGAACCAGGGGTAAATTCCAGCTCACCTCAGCTCTGCAAGCATGGTGGTTGATGATGGCAAGTCTGAGAAACCCAACCAGGCTTCCAGGTCGCTGGCTTGGGTGCCTCTGGGGTCTTGGAAGAAGCTCTGACGTTACTGCCCACTGTGTGTAGGGAACCCTGCTGAGGGCCCCAGAAGCACTAGCTTATGGGATTCTCACTTTGCCTTGAATTGGGTGCCCCTTCCATCCCCCCTTCCAGAGAGAACTAGATTGTGAAGTACCTGGACAGGGTTCCTTGGGATGCTGGCCCTCAGCCCCAGTTCTGCGTGCTCATCCGAGTTGCTTTGCTTCTCTGTGCCTCTGTAACTAGGGTCTCCGGGTAGCCATCAAGGCTTCATTGGCGGGGGGTGTAGGGGTGTCCTGTGCCCCCAATCTCAGAGGCTCAGCCTCTCTGGCCTGCAGGTAGAGCAAGGAGGAAAGTGCCATCATGTGCTAGTCTCTGGGAGACTGAAGGTACATCCCGCTCAGCCAGTGCAGGCACAGAAGAGGCAGCTTCAGTGCTCATTAAGAGTCTGGCTACATGGTACTGGCCTTAAGGTGCCATTGCTGGGCATGACGTGTACCCCACTTCCCAGGAGACTCAGGGCTGTCAGTTCCTCTGCTCCTGGGGAGACAGACAGAGAGGGCCAGTGCAGCCTGACCAAATTTCAGGAGGCAGGAAGTCCAGGGACAGGAAGAAGGCATTAGTAGAAGGCCTTCCTGTGCCTGGTGCAATGAGCTTGACCTTGTGCAGTGGGCTGGGGCCCGTCCAGGAGCTACCTTCTCTGCCTCAATTCTCCACCGCCCCCACCCCCTTCAGGGAGCTGGGAGACATCTGAATCGGTTCTTGAGAGGCAGGAGGAACGTCACATTTGCGGAGTGCCGACCGTGTGCCAAACACTCAAGGAGCTCTCTCTTGGTCCCCTACCTCCACGGGCAGGTATGGGGAAGAAGCTAAGAGGGACCAAGAGCAGGCTCCAGGTTGGCCTGGGCGTGGGGGTTGTGAGTGGGGCCTTGCCCTCCTCTCACTGCCAAGTGAAGGCGACCTTTGGGTGCTCTGGGGTGGAGCGCAAGCCTCCAGCCCATCTGTTGGGATGTGCATTTCGTCTTGATGGCTTGGTGAGCCCCTGCTCAGCTCTGAGCCCTGCGTCTCTGAGTGGGTGAGCAGTTGGGTCCAGCAGAGAGGGACTCTGTCCCCTGCTCTGCTTCCTCCACCTCTTCCTGCCCTCAGATTTCCCCTTCTCTCTCTGAGCCCACCCCTTCCCAACACCAGGCCTTGGCTCTCAGAGCCCTTCCCCAGCAAGCCATCTTCTCCTGCCCCATCATGGAGCTGCATTGTGTGGTTCAAGACCCAGCTCAGCTACCACCTCTCTTATCCAAGGGAGGTCCTCAGAGCCCAAGGAGAGCCTGCCTGGCTTGCTGTGTGGCTCCAGTCTGTCATACTCTCTGTGCCTCTGTTATCTCATTGCCAAGTGCAAGAGTGCGAGGTCTCAGGGCTGTCCAGTGGCACATCGGCCTCCTGTTGTCCTTGACTCTGTAGTCTCTGGGGCTGAGCTGCCATCCACTTAAGGGTCTGAGAGGGGCCTGCTTTGGGGAGCACTCTCAGAGGGGTTCCTTTGGTGGAAGGGGGACAGAGAAGCCTGTGGATGTGGAGGGCTGCTGTCTAGGACTAGGACTGTCCAGGACTGGGACTAGGTCACGGCCGGCATGTCTTGCTTCAAGTGGCACCTGTCACCTGCTGAGCCTCACAGGTGAGTAGACCGAGCCCCCAAGGAAGTGGCGGCTTTCTCAGGGCCACAGCACGGGCAGTGCCAGGGCTGGAAGGAGAGCTAGGTCTCTTCATCCTGTGTGTGCTACATCCTGCCGAGTAGCAGCCTGGGATTGCCATAGTCAGCACTGTCAGGACATGAGACCAGAGGAGGACCACGGCTCTGCCCTGCCCCTGACAGCCCCGGACCCTGACCTGAAGAGGGGAGGAGAGATCTTCTGGCCTGGACATTCAGCCTGCTCAGACATTCAAGGCTCAGACCCCCTTGTCCTGACCTTGTGTGGCAGCCACTCTGGGTGGCGTCCTGGATCGTCAGCATTATATCCATGTTCCTGCCTCCTTGCCTGTGCTGGTGCTCATGCTGCCCCCTGAGACGCACCCGCCCAGCCTTCAAGGCTGCATCTGTAGCCACCTGCTGCGAGTCTGCCCAGCTGCCTCTCCTGGAGCTTCTGCCGAGGTGTTCTCAGCAGCTTCGTGCCACTGGCCCTGCCTCTGGCATCAGTGTCATCGTCACAAGCCCTATTAAGTTCCTATCATGTGCTGGGCGCCAAGGGATTCACATACCCAAACTCCTCTGGTCCTGATCGGAGCTGAGGCTTAGTATGCAAGTCTCCATTTCACAGATAAGAAAACTGAGGCACAGTGCAACACCTGGTGGGCTAGAATTTGGTGTGTCCCCACCTCCCCAGGGGGGCTGCAGGCTGTAGGATGGCCCACTATTTCATCTTACCATCCAGCACAGCTCCTGGGGCTGACAGGTGCAGTGGTAGCTGCAGGGACACACAAGGATGACCAGAGCCAGCCCTCCAGGGGCCCATGGGCTCTCAGAAAGGACCGCCCATTTCCAACGCCACTGTTAAAGAGTTTGGGAGAAGGAGAAGACTTGGCCAAGAATGGGACTGCAAGACAAGCTCTGGTGGGGGCTATAGAGAAACCATCCAGAGTAGGATATGGACCTGCCCAAGGTCACACAGCCAGCGCGGGACAGCAGTGGGGCTGCGACCTGGGACTCCCAGAATGACCCACCTCCCTGCACCTTGCAGCCAGCTGTGTGGCCCTGTAACTCGGCACTTTTTCAAGGACACACGGTCCCAGACGCCTCTGCGATGCTGAGCTGCTCAATGAGTGGCACTGGTCCTTCTCCCCCCTCTATTAAAATGAAGAAAAAAAAAAAGAAGAAGAAGAAGAAAGAAAGAAATCCAGGCATTGTTCCTGACTGCAGCTGGTGCCAACCAGAATCCCGCCGAAGAGAATGGAGCCGAGAGCCTGGCCGCCCAGGGGCCTGGCTGCTGACACAGACCCTTTCTGTTTTGCTTCCCACTGGGGGCCCGGGCTGACGTCGCGGCCCTCCATGGTCGCCCTCCACCTGCCTCCCTGGCCCCTCTTTGCAAAAATCAGATACCACTTGGGAGGGCTGGAGAAGCATTGCCAGCCCCAGCTTTCCCTCCTCGTCTACCCGCAGTCTGGGGAGAGCTGGGCTCCCCCTCTGGGCCAGCCTGGCCCCAGACCCTGCCAGGAGGGGACTGGGGATGCCTGTCTGGGAGAGTTACCTAAATCCCTCCTCCTTGGAATCATTTGAAACTCTGGTTTGGTTCCAGGATGTGCGAGGATTTTCCACCCCACCCCCACCTGACTTGGCAGGTGCCACAGGGCTCAGCTCACACATTAAGGCCATTAGCAGTGGTGATGTCCTGGGGGGTGGGAGTGGAGGCCAATAGGATCAACAGCTCTCCAGGGACAGAATCGCCCTTTAAAGTCCAGGGTTTGGCTTCTCCCTTCGGTTTAGGAGGAAAAGCGCTCCCCAGACTATCCCTTTTGCCTTCATGAGTTTGTCTCCCCTTCTCTGCCCCTTTGTGTGAGCTCTGTCTTACACACATCCCCTGCCCCCAGGCCATGAGCTGCCCTGACCCAGATTACCCAAAACATCAGCCCAAAGAGAACAACGTCCCGGCCAGTGGCCAGCGGCCACCAGGACCCCTTGAGCTGGCCCTGCTCCCAGAGCAGCTTCCCGATCTCCCTTCCTCCTCCCACGACACAGCACTTCAGTTTGCCAAAGCACTTTGCATCTGACGTGAGTGCCGCAGCCAGCCGCGAGAGGCAGGTAGAGATTGCACAGCCCGCCATAGAGAAATAGAGTGGGCACTCAAGAATCCTTGGCAGCTGGACCTGGGATTATGCAGCAGGAGGACAGCTCTGGGATTTGAACTCCAGTCTTTTGATTCCGTGTCAGTAAGCAGGAGCAGGGACCCAGGCACTGACGGTCCCAGGCACTGACGGTCCCAGGGGATAGGGTCTCAGACAGATTCCTTCATAGGAGACTTGCCATGTGCCTGCATCTCCAGCAGTGACGAAAGCAAGTTTGGTGCAGTTGCCACGGAGCTCATATCCCAGTGGAGCAGAGGGACGCGAGACAAACTGCGCAGGCTGATCCCTCCTTCCCAGTAGCCCAGCCTGTGTGTGTGTCGTGCGGGAGACCTGGACGAGGAGGCTGGAGACACGGGTTCTAGTTGTGATATTGTCTCGGACTCACCAGGTGACACTGGCCTAGGTGCTCCACCTGGGAGATCGGCCAACATGTGGCTCCTCACACAACTTCTCAGGTCCCTGCCCTACTTGCTGCTTCTGGGTCAAGTGGTTAATGATTTCCTGGCACGAAAAATTACCCTGATTTCGTGTTTTCTTAAACCCAACTTCCCAGAGGCTCTTGGAGCCAGAAAGGGGCTTCTGAGGTCGTGTGACCTGAGCCCCTGACTAAACAAGGACCCCCTGGCCTCGTCCTCCCAGAAGGTGACGTTCCTGGCCGGTTCCCTTCCAGGGAGCTCGGCCCCTCCCCGGGCAGACCTCTGCCCAGCTGCTGGTAAATGTTTAACATCTGGCTCTCCGAAGCGGGGAAAACCTAATGTGTAGTATTTGACGACTTCCATCGTGTAAATACTCCCACGATGGCCAGTTTCAAGCTGCCAACCCAACAGCCGTCGGCTCACGTGTTTCCTGAAAATGTGGCAGTGGCTCTCGGGAGCTGGGACACGCAGGCCCCAACACGCTGCTGCCTTGTCCAGTTTTACTTGCTGCGAAGTTTGTCCTGGCATGGAGCGAAACATGGCGATTGTCAGGCACTCTGGCCGAAAATTCCTGAGCTCTTTCTTGGGCCCGGGGCATCATGGGGCGAGGGGGAACCTCAGAAAACCCCTCAGACAGTGGGACGCTGCAGCTCTGGGGCCTGTATCCCTGAGAGAGGGTGAAGTTCCCGGGCAAAGTGGGTCGGGTCAGCCGGCTTCCCTCCTGGCCTTTCCCTCTATCTCCTCTCCTCCCTTCCTTTCACAAATATTTGCTGGGCTCCTGTGACATGTCAGGCACTGGGCTAGGGCCTGGGGTCACAGCACCCGCCTCTGACTTGGCCCCGGCACTGGCCCCCTCCCGTCTTGCTCGTAGCCCTCGGATGCTGCCCTCTCCCAGGCCGGTCCCGACTGCCCCTGGCCACCCCCCTCCCCGGCATCAGGCAGGCTCCTAGCCTCGCAGCGCCTTTCTCCACCCTGTTTGGCATTTAGCACTCTCCACCTTGGATTACAGCTATTTGTGTGCACAGTTTATCTCCCTGCCAGACTGAGAGGCAGCGCGGGCCTGTTTCACAGCGTGGACTTTGAGCCGCATGCACACGACCTGGCCCTCGTTCCCAGCCCCGTGAGCCCGTGAGGAACTCACACGGCCTTGCCGTCCTCAGTTGCTTTATCTGCAAGTTGGGACTGGTGGGAACTTAGTCCAAGGTGGTGCCAGCCCGTAGGTGGGATTAGAAATATGGGCCTCCTTTTCTGTTCCTTTCTGGGCCCCCAGCCTCTTGCGGACAGAGGCTGTATCTGGTGTTACTTAGTGGTCTCCTGGTTGGTCTTTTTTTAAAAAAATTTATATTTATTTTAGTTGAAAGAGAGATATCTAAGCGAGGAGTGAGAGACGCAGAGAGATCTTCCATCCACTGGTTCACTCCCCAGTTGGCACAGGCTGGGGCTGGTGCAGGACAAAGCCAAGAGGCTGGCATTCCATCCAGGTCTCCCACATGGGTACAGGGGCCCAAACACTTGGCCATCGTTTACTGCTTTCCCTGGCACAGTAGCAAGGGAGCTGGATCAGAAGTGGAGCAGCCGGGCCACCAGCTGTGACTCCAATACTGAGTCCTGCCCCTCTTGCTTCTTGTGGTAAGAACTCAGCCTTGTTAACTTGTTTCAACCTCGCAACAACATTGTGGCATTGAAGCTATTATTACTCCCGTTGACAGATGAGTAATCTGAGCACACAGAAGTCTCATAGCAAGGCCAAGATCACACAGCCAATGAACAGGAAAGCTGAGACTTGAGTCCAGACAAATATGCTCCAGACTCTGGCTGGTGAGCCCTGTTACAGG